ATCTCCCAGTGACTTACTACCCTTTGAATAAGGACTTCCTAACATCTTATACAAATGTTCTCTTGTTTAGGTAAAAGCCATTCCTCCTTGTCCTGTCATTATCAAAACTTGTAAAAAGTTGGTATCCTTCCTGGTTTATAAGCTTCCTTTAAGTACTGTGAGATTGCAACAAGGTGTCCCTGCAGACTTTTCCTCTCCAGACTGAATGAGCCATGCTTTTCAGCCTTTATTCACAGGATAGGTGCTTAGTGGCTTGCCTCTGTATCTGAACCAACAGCTCCACATCTTCCTTGTGCTGGGAGCCCCCTGGACACAGTACTGCAGATGGGTCTTGCCCTCTCACTGGGCAGAGCAGAGGGAGACAATCACCTCCCTCTCCCTGCTGCCACCCTATTGATGCAGTTCAGGATACTGCTGGCCTTCTAGATTGCAAGTGCACACTGCTGGCTCATGTCCAGCTTTTTGTTCACCAGAACTGCCAAGTCCTCTGCAAGGCTGCTTCCAGTCTGGACTTCTTCTTCCAGTCTGTACACATACCCAGGATTGCCCTGATCCAAATGCAGCACCTTGTACTTAGTCTTGTAGAATCTCATTAGCTTCCCATGGGCCCAATTCTCAAGCCTGCCCTGGTCCCTGTGGGAGAGGACTGGCAAATCCATGCTGCAAGATCAAAAAGCAGTGCCAGTAAAGAAGGTGGTTAATTAAATCACCAGTGCCTAGTTTCTGATGAGTTAAAACATAATTATCTAATTTTATTCTTCTAAATACACAAGGGCCTTACAACTTTAAAAAAAAGCAAAAAAAAAAAAAGCGCACAACATTTTTGTAATTGTTTGTCTTAGCACTCATCTTTTACTAAGCTAGTGGAGAAGTAACAGGAATCAATTATGTGACCTAAAGAGCCACCAGTGGACTCTGACGTCTTTACTCCAACACAAAGAGCAAGAAACCATTTAATTGCTCCTCTGACCACATTAAGCAGTATACATCCCTGGACAAAGTCTTCAGCATTCGCTTTAACCAAAAGTCATCAATCTTTGTATACATTAAAGTACAGAGATCTATCAGCAATTATTTGAGTTTTCTTGGAAGAGCTTAAGTAAAGTTTCCTTGATGTGATTATTTGCCTTGTGTTACACTCATTCTTGGCACAGTTTCACAGGAAGGATTACAGCTGGGATTAATTTGGCCATTCTGTATGTATGGCTGACACTTTATATACCTCTCAAAAAGGCATTGTTTATTTCTTATTTGCACTTATCTGCAAGTGCAAATGATAGAATTCTCTGGAATGCGCTGGCTGGCACCTTTTTTTACTTGCCAGGTTAACTGTGACTTCAGAATTTAAGCCAAATTTAGTTACTACTGGCAACCCATGAGGTATGGGGGGATCCTTTTCCCTCCTGAATCATGCAAAATTTTAATGCTCACCTAACAGCTCCACGTCTGTGAATTTTATGATCACAAGGATTTGAGCTCCTACTGAATTTAAACCCATACAATTACAGAGACAGCAAGATTGTGATCGCAGAGAAACACTTCAGGACATTCAATTTAAAAGCCCTCCACAAATATCACATAACTCCCAGATGTACCATATTTTACAATGATCATGCTCAGGTATAGGAGGGAAGAGAAAAAACAACATTATACAAACACATGGAACTGACAGTACTGTCCAATTTTGTGGTGGTTTGTGCCAGCCCCACTAGCACTTGTTGGTGATCAGACTGCAGGACCAAACTAGCTCTTTGCCCATGCTGCCAGGGTGACTTATGCACTGCTCTGGGATCTGAGGTATCCATTACAGAAAATGGAAAAATGTGGAGGAATGCAGAGTGAGGACATCAGAGTCACTGAGGCATTATCCATCCAGCATCCATCACGGCACACACTCCTAACCTTCACAGTGGTTTGATAATCACAGTGCAGTGACAGAGTGCAGCACGCTGACAGTGACAGAACTGGTGTTTGCAGACAACCTTTGTCCTTTCCAAACTCTTCAAAAACAGCACCCTGTAGCCCACTGCCTACAGCAAGTGGTATGTGTGTTGGCATTGCTCCGGAACCCGCAGACCAGAACAACACACTCGGCCACTTCATTTATAGGATCTTTTGGTTTTCTACCCCTATTCAAGATTCTAGCTTCTGCACATTCTGTGTATGTGGATTTCACATCTTCTTAATATGTCCTCACAGAACGCTTTGCTCCTCCTGTATTGATAGTGTTAGACTCGTGTTGGACTACAGATGTCTTGGTGCATTGGCTTGTTACCCCAGCACACATCTTCACCTTCAGTCCGAGGTGAGCCTCCACTCTCAGACGGATGGTAAGCATTCTTCAGGAATATCTCAGCACTCTGCCTACAAATAGAGTCCTGCACTGCTGAAGATTTAAAAAAAAAAAAATGGCTTTATACATAGAAAGTTTAGAAAGTTCTATCCTCCTTCAAGTCACAGGCTTATTCCACACCCTTGAACAAATGTTTTTTTTTCCCCACTTCTGCTTTCAGACATCCAAATGACAACAATTTTTTCAAGGCAGTATATATTGCAACCTGTGCTTCTTACTCACATTACGTCCCAACTGATGTGACCCACCTTCCTCTTGCTGGTTCTTGGACAGAAACAGATGAAGTGTTAGCAAAAGAGAAAGACAAAGGAGGCTATCTGGAAGTAGAAACAGCATGAATTCCCTGCTCTCCACAATTTCAGAAATGTCTCTCTTTTCACATATAAATACTCTCATTTTCTTCCACAACAGAGAAAGGACTAAGTAGAACCTACATACCTACATTCATTTTTGAAGCTTCTGCTAATAAAGTAGAACAAAAATAATCAGAAAATTCACAGATGAATGTCCACATGCTAGGGTTTGATTTTAACAAAAATAATTCAGTATATCCTACAGTGCTCAGATAGAGACCTGAGCCCAACAGAAATCAGCATCTAACATTTGATGCTACTTCTCTGCTAAGACACGAAAACACCTTTGCAAAGTCTCGGCAACATTCAGTTGCCACTCAGTAAATAAAGAAAGTAACTGTATCTTTGTTGTCAAAACATCAACCAAGTCCATAAACTAGTAAAAGCTCCAGGTTCCTTTGTATAATTATTTCCTGCCTTCTTTTATGTAAGAATTGTACTAATCATATCTTTCTGCTTAGACAGAAACATTTTCATATAGGATAGATAACTCTTCTTCTAGTTCAATACTGCTCCAATTTTATATATCACACACCATTTCCACATCCATTTGCTAAGTAAATCTGACTATCTAACAGTATTATGTACACGAACAATAAACATGCTACATTTTTTAATCAGACCTTCACTGTTTAGCTGCAAGAACATGCTGTGCAGAGCCGTGAATCTGCAATAAATTCACTTGCCACATTACCTACTTCTCTGCAGCTCAAAGATTAAATGCCAGCACTTCTCTGCCAAAGGAGGCGGATCTATAAAATTAAAGACTTGACAGACGTACGAGGTGACAGTTATGTATCAATCATTTTACCCTGGCTGACATGCAGATACATCTGAGTCCAGTAACAGCGTATTACAATGCTATACCAGGCTGAGGAGAGAAACCATGTAACACATTTTGAGAACAATACAAGAAACTCAAGAATGAAGGATGTAATTGACTGAACTGGAGTTTGGGCAGCATGCTGATGTGATGCTGCTGTCTATGCAATCTATGAGGTTTTGATGGGTTGACAGTGGGTGTGAATCTAAATACTCCATTTTGTCCTCATAGCAAGACATTACGTACAGATCAACCCTGTTCTGGTTAGAAACCATGGTACTCTGTCCATTCTTGCAAGGTATTACCCTCAGTGGTAACAGCTGCTGCCCTTGTTTGGCATCTGAGAGCAGAAAAGGGCACTCATGAATAAAAAGGTTTCAGGTCTTCTCCCCATCAAATACTGACAAAACTGGTTTGAAGGTTTTGTGTGTGTGTTGCTTTTTTCTGGCTTTTTTTTTCCTCTCATTACTGTTGTTAGTGGTGGTTTTGTTTTGTTTTGTTTTTTTTTTTTTAAATACATTTGTTGAAAGCAAGATAGCACACACATGTATACAGCAAAATTCTGCCTACGTTTGTGTTTGCATGCCCCAGCCTGCAAGCTGGTAGGAACCAGCACTAGTGTACACAGCAGTTATGTGCTATAAACTGAGCAATGCTGAGAAAGTAGGTTTACCACACAATTTGGATTGAAATGAAGCATCCCATATCTTTCTTATTTATATATGCAGAATCTGATCTAAACCAGCCTGAGATTTCCAAGAGAGATATTACAGAACAGGACAACTGCAAAGTAACTTTTCAGAGATGCAGAAATGGGAGTCACAAAGAGAAATTTGCTTCGCTACAACTAAAACTACACCCATAATTTACAAAGCTTAGTAGGATTTTACTTAGTAAAACCAGGTCTTTAAGCAATCCAGGTGCTTTTTTCTGGCAACAAGACTTGCAGACTCTTGCTAATTTATAGATTCAACCAGATTTCAGGGTGCCCAGGTTCACCAAGGCAGTGTCATTGTTTTTAGGGTAAAGCAGCTGCCACAGGAATTGAATAAAGACACCTCCTCCCAGTATTTTACTCTGCTTTATCTGAGCAGACACCCCCAGGCTGAACCAGCAAAGAGGCACAGCATGATCCTCCTCCTGCTTTTGCCTGCTCCCAGGACAGCACCATGCACTTCCTGGAAAGGCAAAGCCAGCATCACCTGCACTTTGGTACATACGTCCTCTGCCTCAGAATCACCTGTGTCCAACACTGAGCTCTCCTACAGACTGGCACACAACAATCATTCAGCAGGAGCACTGCCATTTGGGCCAATTCTCACTGCTCTGGCAGCAGCAAGAGATGAAAAAAAGGGAGGGAGACGGTAGGTATACAAGAACTTCTAGTAATAGGGAAGGACACCGGGCTTCATCCCCTGTCTACCCCTCACACTGGGGGACCCCAGAATGCCACTTCCACCCAGGTTCCTACCTGGCATCGACGGGACTGCAGCTTCAGGGGTGGCAGCAGGGGCAGCAGGGGGCTGCTGCTGGCTGGAGCTGACCTCGGGCTCTGTGCTCACAGAAGGTGACACAGCTGCCTCACCGCCCCCTGGGGCTGGCTGCGGGGCAGGCAGCAGGGTCTCTTCTGCGGCTGGGGCCTCCTCCTGCCCAGGCAGCTGCAGGGCTGACAGCGGGATGCTGATGGCCTTCCCCACGGCAGCGGCATTGGAGCTAGTGGCTGGTGCCTGCAGGGCGGCTGGGGGGCCGCCGCTTGCCCCACGGGCTGGGGAAACCAGGGCAGCTCGGGGAGGTCTCTGCACAGGGAGCCGGGGTGGGCCGGGTGGGGAGGCACAGAGGTGTTGCGGGTCGGGGTCGTGCCCAGCAGGAAGGGGTAGAGCCCTGGTGGGGCCCAGGCCAGAGGGCCCAGCCTGCACTGGTGCTTTGGGCTTGGACATCTGGGTGAGGGCCAGGGCCGGCCCATCGGCACCAGCCGTCAGCTCAGCATTGGCCACAATGTAGTAATCCTCGGGCAGCTCCTGCTTGATCTTCTTGAGCAGAACCTCGCCACTGCCCTCGTCGGCTGGCTGGGCCTGGGCAGCAGCAGGGAGCCCAGCGGGTGGCCGCTTCCGAGGGCCGCCGGGCACACGGTGGAGGTGTGGCTCAAAGTCACTGTCCTCATCTGTGACGGAGGACTCGCAGACCATGTCGAAGAGAGTGGCCTCGTCTTCGTACTCCTCCACCGGCTCGCCCAGCTCTGAGGGCTCACTGCAGTAGGAGAAATCACAGGAGTCACGGGTGCGGGTGCAGTCCAGCTTGGCCTTCCCTGGCCGGCCTGGGTAACGCTCAAGTGGGCTGGCCTGCGTCTCAGAGGGCACTCCCAACATACTGGGACTGTCTGAGTTGAAGCTGCGGCTGTCCTGGAAGCAGACGCGTTCCTGAGAGCCAGCCCGGCAAGTGGCAGCCAGGGGCCAGTGGTAGGCATGGCCAGCACTGCAGCCCCACATGGCGGTCAGGTTGCCGTGGGCTCCCTCGGACAGCAGGTGCTTGAGGTTGGGGATGAGGCTGCAGATGGTCCCGTGGCTGTGGGCCCAGCTCACCAGCTTGGAGAGGTTTTCAGAGGAGGTGTGAAGGCAGTCCTCCATGGTGCAGGATCGGTGAAGCTTGGCTGGCTAGAAGTCAGCTGGAGACACAGTTTAGATGACAGGGTCCCAGCACTTACACTGGTGCTCCTCCAGTCTCATGCTTGTCATTTGCCTGCAAACAGAGAGCAAAACCCCTCTTTTCAGTGCTGCCAGCTCTAGTAAAACCATTTTATTTTCATCTCATGCACTCCAAAAGGCATTTCACAAAATAGCACCTGGTTCTTAGCAGCTCCTTTTCTTATTTCACTGAATAATCCATTGAAAAATGTACATTTAAAACCTCACGGAAAAACATCCCTGCAAAACACAACTACAGCAAGATAAAAAACAGATTCCTAAGCAACCAAGATCAGTATTAATGGCAATACGATTTGAAGCTGACAAAATGCAAATACAGACAGAAAACTGGTGAACGTGACCTCATACTCAGGACACGAAAATTAAATAAAATCTTAAGCATACAATTTATCTAGAACATCAAAGTGACAATCTAAGCAACAGCTCAGATATTCACTATGCATCTGATGAAAATTTATGACACTTTACATCCCTTATGCATGTTTCTCTAATTTATAAAACATTTCCTTTACAAGCAAATTTCAAGGATATTAAGGCCTGAAACTTTATTTTTCAGTATACAGAAACGGCTAGTAAATTCACCCTTTACTGTGCAGTAATGAGAGCTGTCATCTGTCCAAAGGCTTATCAGAAGCTTAAGGGACCTGCAAGGTTATGTTATAACGTTTCTTAAGGAACTTTGTGAACTAAGATTTTATTTTTACTACATCTTCTTGCTTCACAGATCCAAACTGCAATTCTATTTAAGATAAACACTTGTCATTTTCATCACAATTATCCACACATTTGCAGCACACAGACATCTGTCATCAAGGCCACAAATCCTGTAATATTTCAGGTCAAACATAAAAAGGCAAGGTCTGTCTTACGCTCATCTTTTCCTGCCAGAAATTGCTTTCCACCCACATGCAACAGGTACTTTCCAGGCAAGACTTCACCCACAAAACACCACAAGCCCTCAGATCTTCAGCACAAGGACTTTCTAGCAGACCTTGCAGTTTTTTCTCTGATACTAATTTCTAATCAGATGTGACATAGGTCATTCAACTAATTGAACAGAGAGAAAAAGAATAAAAAAGTATGTAAATTTAAACATTAAACATTTGTTCCGTAAATAAAGAAGAGCAAGGAATTGTAACACAACTTAGCTAAAGATGCTGAAATTGTTTACAGGTAATTGCTTGGGCTTTAGCATTCTTTTCCCCGAGTGGTTGCTGTGGCCTTAAGCTGGCAGGCCACAACCCCGGCGTGCTGGGGGAGAGGATCAAAAACAGGAAACAGTAGAAGAACTCACGGGTTGAGACAAGAACAGACTGACAAGAAATGGATAAGAAAAACCAGGAATATATTAAACAAGCCATGCACAAGGCAATTGCTCATCACCTTTCAGCAGATACCCAGCCCGTTCCTGAGCAGCAGCAGCACTCACTGGCCAGTTCCTCCCAGTTTATTGTTCAGTGTGATGCCACACGATAAGGGACATTCCTTTGGTTAGTTTGGTTCAGCTGTCCTGGTTCTGTCCTCTCCCAGCCTTGTGCACCTGCTCACTAGCAGGGCAGTGTGAGAAACTGAAAAGTCCTGGACTCTAAGCACTGCTCAGCAACAACTAAAACATCCGCTTGTTATCAACATTATTTTCATCTCAAATCCAAAACCAGCTCCTCGAAAGACATTTAACTCTATCGCAGCTGAAAGCCTGGTAGCAATCTACTCAGACATCCAGCAAAATATCATTCAGGAGCCCATTTTGAAGCCCACCCCTTCAAGGACTTCTCCTGACATAGATTAAAGTCAATTGCAAAGCATTAACTGACTTCAGAAGGTCCCAGAGGCCTGTGAAAAGTTAGCACTTTGCAGATATTCCCCAACATACGGCTCACACCCCTTGCCTAATGAAACTGGACAGTTCTCCTTACTTACACTATTGCTTTACTTCTAAAAACTGAAATTACATAAGTTGCTGGAAAAGATCAATAATTTAAGTGAGTTAACAACTCAGAATTTCATGTTTGTTCAGATTAGGTTGGGCTGAAAACTTCTGAAGTTATTTCTCAGGTTAAGCAGTAGAGATTGAAAGTATATTCGTACCCCAAACTAAAGATTGTGTTTCCTGTTCCACCAGAGGTCATTTTTTTTTTCAAACAAGGTATCTCAACTCAGTACAATCTTAATTTGGTAAATATATTTTTTCAATTATTCACGAACTGAGTGAAACATTTTTCATCAACATAACCAAGAGATAACAAAGAAACTGAAGCACTGACAGGTGATATGCAGAGACACTCAGACTTCCTCTGAAGAATAAATCACACTGGGAACTTCTGCCTGTTTCAGCAGACTTCTATGGAGGCTCTTCCTCATCTTCATCCTTTGCTTTTGGAGCATGACCTACCAGACTTGGACCTACTACTGGTCCCATCTCATCTATACTTCCATACATAAGGAAAATCCCTTTAAATTTTTTTCCCAGCTGAAATGCAGCATTCACACCAACATTACACCCAATTTTGCTCTTTTTCCCCTTCCACACACATTTTTAGATGTAAAATGTAATGTGTTATGGCTAAGAAAGACAGCTGCACTGTGGATAACAGCCTCCAGAAAACGCTTCCCCTAAAATCAACACAAGTCACGGCGTCACCTGAAACACGACTTGCACAACCAGTGCCTTTGTGCAGTGTAATAAGTGCAGCAGGGTCCCCACCTTGCAAACTCTGCTAGGCACACGATAATGTGCTCTTTTTAAATACACAGCTTTTAAAGGCCTACGAGTTTCACGCAGCTGTTTGTTTAAAAATTTTAAAGGTACACAGTCAATCCTGAAAGGGTCAAAGTCCCCACAGCACCTCCATTTCAGCTGACTGTGTATGCAAAAATCTGAGCATAAAACATATCCCAACACAGAACAAATACACACACTGTCCTCTCAGATGTGTAGTTCTTCTCTTCTGAAGGTATACCTGAACTGTCGGCGATCCATAGAACTGGAGCATTAACTCTGTAACTCCCAGTGCTCTACATGATGTTAGGATGTGAGAATATGATAACAAAAATCTTAAAACCATGACAGAGGAGTAACACCACACTCACACAAGAGAAAGAGGACAGCCAGGAAAGCAAACGGGCAAAAGGAGGGAGCTGCTCTCCAGGGCTGTACTCATCATCAACAGCAGTGCAAGGCCATGGGAAAGCACAGAGCTGCCCAGTTGCTGCACGACCACGTACATATCTTGGGAAGATGGAAAGCCCAGTTTGGCTGAAGAACTGGGAAATGGCATCAGTTAAGTTCTTGAGCCTACACTGCTTGTGCAGGGCTGAAAATCCAGAAACATCCGCTACTGAGAAACTATGTGTTTTTGGTTCACAACCTGCAGCAAAAGTCAACAATGCTGCTTTGGCAGGAGCAGGCTCACCCTGAAGAAAGCACAGCAGACAGACAGCAAATCCATAATTACTTACCTGGTTTCCTGAAGAGTGAGACTTGTCTGCTCACTCACAGAGCATTGCTGCTTGCTGACAGTCTGCTCTTGTATGCGAAATCACATTTTAAAGATTTAAGTCCTTCATTCAGACAGGCAAGATTCAATAAGATGACTCATGCTTAATTAACCTGCTCTCATGTACACTCTGAAATCATCCAGAGGCTGGCAAAAACATACTACAGCTTCATAACACTGTTTAAACTGCACTGCAGTCTGCAAAGCCTTAACTTTCCACAGCACTTTTCTGCAGCTCAGAGCCTAATAACGTCTAGCAGAATGATGCATCCCTAGGTCTGGAAATTCACTACAGCTCTTAGAGTCCTAAGTTAAAAATCATATTTTATTGCTTGTTTACATTTTTACAGTTTCATTTACAACATTCCACTGTAGTGAATAATGTGTACAGAATACATGCTATGCCAGAAAGCTTTGCTCTTGCAAAACCATTCTTATGAATGTGTTAATACATTCACTGGAACATCATTTGATTTGGGAAGCTGAGTATTTTCTTTATCCATAACTAGGGTTTTGTCAGAGGAGATTTCCTTGGTGACCAAACAGTAGTGAAAAATGGTAGCCTCTAAAATAGGTCTCCGTCTCTTCCATGAGGCTTCTCAGCGCAGCGTTGGTTAGCACCTTATGGGAGGTAATTCAGGAGAAATGGGGAAATCTGTGATGTGGCTTACCTGTAGGCAAGGCAGACAAGGTGAGGATGCAGGGAAAGAGCTGAACTCGAAAAATGGGATGCAGTAGAAGTTAGTGGTAGAAAGTGGGGGTCCTCCAGCAGAGTTTGCACACTGGAACACGCATTTGGTGGACCTATGTCTCAGGGAAGGTGGCAAGTGCATTTTGTTGTAAGGAAGGCAAGAAACATGGCCTGTCTTTCACATAAACACAGGGTAGCCAATAATAGACTTCCTTCCCAGGGTAATAATGCTAGACAAGTCAACAGAGGTTTGGAAAACTCCAGGCATCACACAAAAACATACCTGAAATCCCATTATCAAAACTGATTATTAGCATTTCAAGAACTTCCACACTGATTTTTGTTCAAGAGAACAGCAGAGCCATGAGTACATCACCCATCTCTTGGGATGTTATACCAAAACTGAGGTACCTTGTTCAAGACTTCCTAGAACCCCAAGATTCTCAAATGAGGTTATAACACAGAAATCACTATTATTAATAATAAAAAGTAATTTTATTTTATTACAACTGTGCAAAAAGTCCAAAATCTGAACTATAAAACATTTGAAGATATGTGTAGAAAACCTACATTTATTCATCTTAAGTAGCATGGATTTCAAACCAGTCTTACAATAGCTTAAAAGTGACTTCCAGCTGATTCTATAGAGATGCTGTTTTCTCATACTGGTAAAAAACAACAAGAACAACAAAAAAAACTACTCAGAATGTCTCAAATCCTCTTTGTTACAGCCCCTCTCCCTTGGCCAGAACTTATGGGCTCTTATTCCATTGCCATCTGAGGGTGAATCACTGTTTACTTGAAAGTTTTTTTATCTTCAAGAGGGGAAACCCATCCACTAGTTAAAGCAATTGAAATAAAAGGTTTGGCCACCACAACATTAAGCATCTGTTTCATTCAAGAGATGGACAACGGTAGGGCTTCCTTTATTACTAGTGCTTTTTAAGCCAAATGCTTAATATTGCTAAGGGACTGAAGTCAGCAACTTCAGAAATCCATTTTTATCAGTGCTGAGGTCCTCACCAGGTCCTGCTGGTGCACCTGTCTCTCCAGAATGACACGCAGAACTGCATTTCTTCTTCCCAGAAGAAGAGGCTGGAGAGTCACCAAGAGCTGCTGCCTGTTGCAAGTATTTCTCTAAAACCACCTGAGATCCCAAACATGTGTTATGATTTCTTAAGGATGTCATCTGCTTATCACTGGACTGGGATGGACAACTACCCGTTCAGAACAGGCCAGCAAACTGGAAGGGTAAGGAATAGGCAGTGTGCTCCCTCTAACGTGAGTCTTCAGGAGCACAAAACTTCCATCTCAAGTCAAATATTGCTGCGTTTGCTTTCCGCTTGAAAGGCAGACAGTGAAGCAAGGAAAGGGAGAGGAAGAAATTATACAGATAACAGAGCTTGCAGACAACATGTGAAGCATTCAGGTGCTCCGCCCTATCACTGGGGAGGGGGGCAGACCTCCATCCGTGATATGAACCACATATGTTTCCCTTTAGTTAGGAAAACATGTTTTTCATTGAATGTCTCTCTAGGAAATAGAGGAGTATAAATTACAGAGGAAAGGTTCTGGCAAGTTCTGAAAGCTTTCAAGATAGTTTGGTAATGAACCTTTAAACCAGACAAGAACTCCTCCAGCTCCATTAACTTGTCACTCTTTCCTCATCACCTTTTCAGACTCCAGATGAGAGCCTGCAGAGAAAAACAATCTCTCAGTGGAACAAAATTGGACTATTTCCAAGTTATTTGAGCTTACACTATCTCATGTTTTTAGCTCAGTACAAGTGGATTTAGAAATAAGCACACTGTGGGAACCAAACCAAACCTTCACACTAATTTTCCACCTCTGCATTTCAAGGGTCACCCCAAATTTCCTATCAATTCATTTATGTGTAGCAAGTGCCTTTGTTCTCAAATATTTCTGAGCTCCCATGCTTACATCTTGGGCCTTCTGAATTCAGTAGGGGTTCTGCTGTCGGATAGGCAAGCCAGATTTTCAACCATAATGATGAGAACCAGAGTTACAATCCCTATCACCAATAAGCAGCATGAAGCACGGCTTCCTGACATGCAGACTGAGGGGGAGGTATGAATTAAAAATAACAGCAAGTCTTTCTGGGAAAGAGGTGCTGTTTTCCATTCATAAAAATCTCACAGTTGTCTGTCACACTTGCTGTATGAGCCTGCAGCTCCTCCCCAGCTGATGGTTAGTCTTCAGAGAAGATGCTCTCCTTGCCAGGCATGGCATGCCTTCAACTGCAGCTGTCATCACAGCAAGCCTGCAGAAAGCAGTAAAATCTGTGTGCTGGTGAAATTCCTTCAGCTAGACAAAAAAGAAAAGGATTTGACTGGGGGATTGGGGATTTGAGTGACCTTTCACATTGAAGAGTACACAGGATTTTGAGCTTCGCATTAGACTTCCTCATCCACAGAATGAAATGACCCACACATCACCAGCTGAGTAAACTGAAGAACAGCCTGGGAGCTTCATCCTTAATCCAAACGTAACACCAGCAGCACCACTGGTTTTACTGTCACCATTTTTCCTAAACACCCACTGAACAGGAGCTGTGTGAGCCCTGCTCCTGCGCAGCAGAGCTGAAGGGTTTTGGAGAACCAAAAGTAGAAGGACCAGATGAAATTGGAGCAGAACAGGCATCGTACTGAATCTGAGCAACCACAGCAGGATCTCATCATGTAAGAAACTCTCTTCTCAACCAGATGGCAATGTTTAAATTCAAGCTTCTTCAGGTTGACCCATTCCTCATTCCACTCCCTGCAGTTCTCTGTGACACTCTTGATAACTGCTCACACATACAAATTTTTTGCAACTCCTCCTGGACACTGATGTCCTTATTTGCAATAAGAAGAATCTCCAGGGAACAGACAGAAACACTCAGGACTGTTTCATCTTGCTGAGGATCTCCCTTCCAAGAAATACACCAGAAATGAAAGTGAACTTTTTGCAGTTCATGAATGCATCTGTGAAGTTGCTGAGCACCTCTAGATTCAGAGAAGTCAAAGAAGATCGTAGTCCTAGAGTTCACTTTCTCTACCTTGTGTTCTTCTTCATTAAGTACATGTTCTGCCATGCATTTTCCATAGGCTCTGCTGCACTAAGGTGATCCTGTAAAATGCTAACCCTCCACGTTGCTTATGTTGTTTTCCTGAGCAGTGTGCTCAGGAGAGAGTTCAGGGTTTTGAAGGCTAAGATCTTGAACTACTAATACAAGGGCTTGTGCAGTGTAAACAGAGTATCAAGAAATTTTGCTGACAAAAGCAAGAAAATTTTAGCACTAGCCATTGTGCAGACTTACCGACTGTTAGATTAATCATCTAGTGACTATTACATGCCCCCAGGGCAGTGGCACAGAACGTGGGGAACATGGAAATAACTTCCCCCTCTACTCATACTCCAAAGCTGTGCTCAGATTATGCATTTCGCCTCATCAAAGTGAAATGCTGGGCAGCATTTGTAGGCGCATGCATCACTGACAAAATCTAGCCTGCCTATCTGATCTCTGTGCATTCATTATCTCTCCTTCAGCACTCCAGTTGCACATACATGTCACAATTTTGTGCAATCACACTCCTTTGCAAAACTGGTGGTTTTTTTTTTCTTTGATTCTGAATTTTTGTCTTTTTTCTACATATGCGTGTGACACTAAATGAACACAACTGTGTGCTCAGTGCATTTAAGTGGATTTATTTTTAGATATACCTCCTAAAATGCCAAATCTGTTAAGGGAAAAGAAATGCAGAAATGAACTTTTAAGTATTTATCAGGCCACCAGCAAGTTTTCAGAAGGCTGCCCCTATGTAACAATCTTCAATGCATTTGTTAAAATTTTGGAAGAGAGAAAACATAACTGGTTGTTTGAAATGTCCTTGAAGCCAAACTGTGCATTATTGGACTGCCAAAGCATGAGATACCTCCACCAGCTAAAATGAATCCAGCTGTCCGCCATCTCTCTTTCATATACTATCAAATTCACTTCCACATTTCAGAACTCTGTTTGTTGCATTGCCAAACACGACCAAATGTATGCATAAAACATAACACATATAATCATATACTTACAGAATAAAAAAACCACTAGCTGGACCTCCTTAAATCATGCTTTAAAAAATAAAAGTGTTCCACCAATTCAGTCCCATTCACTCCAGCATTCCTAGAGTGGCTGAAAGCCCTGCAGAATGGAACATAAAGAGTGAAGCCATTTTTAGCAACATTTACATCCTACACTAGCAGCAGCACAAAAGATGCAGCAAGAATGAAGACCTGAGTGAAATACATCCTGAGTATTTGCCCATGGAAAGCCGTGCACGAACTTGGCTCTACATTCCTGCACTGTTTCAATGGGCCTGACACTATATGTTTTCAAGCCTTTAGACCCCAATTGTCATTGTCACTGAAGTAAAAAGGTCTCCACTTTTACATTTCTATCACTGCAGTGTTGCACTTTCCTTTAACACAGGTATGACTGCAACCAGAACATGCACCATCAGATTTGCTCAGGAGACCTTGATATAATAACCTTTGAAGCCAAAACTCCAGTGACTAAAGCAGACACTGAAGCAGACTCAAATGCCTATTTAATGAGTTTGCACTTACTTGAGGAACAGTGTCATTGCTGCCACTTCCCTGGATGAGAAAGAGCTTTAATCTCCATTCTCCAAGGAACTGGAACTGATTTAAATACACTTGTATGCTCATCATTCTTGTATCACTATCTTTGGTAGATGGCATTTTTTTGGCTGAGTCACCTTTATCTCTGTCATAGCTGGATTCTTTTGCTTTGAGTTAATGTTTTGTCTGCCAAAATTTAATATAAGAAAAACAAAACAACGATAAACAACAGAACAACTGATTTAACATGCTCTGGCCCCACCAATATTTGCCAAGGAAACCATAGTGAGTGGGTACCTCTACTTACAGCAGGGCTTGCTCAAGAGCAAGACTGACAGTTCTTCCCTAAAATGTTCTTTCCAGGGCTTTTCAAGTTGTGTTACACATCTGCAAAACGGCTTACTGGAGCTGTTTCTGGTCTGGGCTTATCTTTTTCCTGACAATTTCCAGTCAGTGTGTCCAAGCCACTGCTCAGAGATGGGCTAAGTGTGGCAAGGCAGTCAAGTCTCCAGGAAACAAGAGGAAGACCTAGTGCTCCGTTTCTCTTAATTCATCATCTCTCATAAGTGCTAGAAATCCCCACCTTCACATTTAATGACTTCCAGCTAAGCACCATCCGCTGGCGCATGCTGTGCTGGAGTGACAAGGGGCAGATGGTTTCTACAGCATCCAGCATCTCCAGTATCTTTGGCAACAGAACTCTGCTGATAGCACTGTCGAGGTGCACATAATGGCAGCACCACATGCTGTATGGTGCAACTGATGGACCATGCACAGACTGCTCAGGAAGGTGCCTGTGCATTAATTTGTTTTAGTAAGCAGTGGTAGAGTGTTTTGTTGTGGCCTCAAGTCAGTCTTAGCCACCTTTTATATTTTGCTGCCTCTGTATTCAAGCAAGAGATGTTTTAATGGAAGAACACATTTTTCTGCCAAATCATTTCTGAAAAATATAATGCATAAGATTTTAAAGTGACGAGCATTTAAAAAAAAAAATCAAAGCTTTCAGTTAGCTATCAGGGGCTTATACATCTTGGCTTGGCTCTTTTTGGTTGTTTACTCAAACATGTTCCAAAATTGCTTCTTCACAGCACTTCTCAGGATGGTCTGAATATAAAACCACACTGCATCAAACATCCCGGCATTTGCCTCAGCTTGTGGTTCATAACTATTCTCTGTTGAAGACAATGACCCACACACTTGGAAAATATTTAAAATACGTAATTGCCTGCATTTGCAACAAAGTGTGTTTACTCTCCCTATTTATAGCATTATAACAAGGAAAGTCAAGCACACAGCCTAAAGGCAAGATGCTTTCCCTGGTCTTTCATTTTCCTGGAACTTCTGTTAACAGAAAGCCTGCATGTAATTTACTAAAAAGAAAACAAGAATGTTATCACTGACTTACACACAAATTACAAAAGCCCAACTCTCCCATTTTCTTACTGCAAAACCAATGCCTTAAGTTCCTGCCTGGACAATTAACTACACCACGCTCTCCCTCACAGCAAACACAAGCAGACTCTCTTTGCCCATTAGTGACTTCACTATTCCAGATTTGGTTTGTATTTTTCAAATGTAGGTTTCCTCTCTGTTCAGGGCTCTTCTAAACTAAGGAAAATTGGAGTGGTGCAGCCATTTAGCCATTTGGCTAAACAGCAAGAGTGAAACCACACCATTAACTGTCTGCAGAGAATAGGGAGGCTGCTTTCTGCACAAAATTAGAGCAACCACAGCAACTCGGTGTTTCTGTGCAAGGATGAAACTGCGCTTTCTATATTAAAATTTATTTGTTTATCTTTTCTCATTTTTTTAGAATCACAGAGATTGTTTTGTACTTAAAATGATTTTCAAAGGACTTAATTCTCAGCAAAAATAACATGTTGAAACTTCTATAGTGCATTTTCCAAAGGATCAATAATGACCCTAGCATCAGGGTGAGGTCCTGCCCTGAAATTTTCTTTTAAAATCCTCAAAAAAAACATTGATCTATGACCTGGCTTATATCCAGCTGTACATAACAGACCACATGCAGCTGAGTCCCTAATAAAGTTCCTAGACAAGGTTTTGACGAGATGTAGAAGAAACAGGAACAGGAAAGCTGCCCCAGAGATGAGCCAGGAAACACAAGTATTTGCATTCAGATTGTAGCCGGTCAGAAACACTGGGTAACATTCTGTCACCAGCAGTCGGCGGATAAAGAAACTGCAAATGCTCCATCCAAATATTTGTTAATTTTTCTGTTAACCCTGGGGACATTTCTAGCTGCAGGCCTCTAACGTATTATCATAACAGATCAGATTATCTAAAATTTGAATTGAATTTTAACGCAGACGATATCCTGAAACCACCCAGGGGTGCTTACTGAGGGTACACCAAGGAGGCTGAAGCCTTGTGATGCTGGGCCTGAGAGCACGAGGGAGCAGGGTGCACAGCTGGACTTCTCCCAACACAAAAACCAGCGTGTGAGACACAGCACAATGCAGACTTCAGTGGGACTAAAATTGTAAGGGCTTAAACATTTGTCCATGGAAAAGATCCCTTTGATCTTGGCTGGTTCAATCAACACAAGTCACAGTTCTTAAAGGCATCGTGCAGCTAAAGGGATTGACAGGCACTGAGTGGGGTTTTCAGAGATCTCTACAGACATGTAAACAACTATAAAATCTCACCACGAGTGTTTAATGATCTGTCAAAGCTTCCTTCACACACCAAGTTCCAAAGCTTTGGCCAAAAGAGCTAAATTTGTGTTCTCATGCAAGCACAGTTCTTACAGCAGCACAACATTTGGCACGTGTAACATGGAAATACACAGATGGTGCATAATTAAGAAACACAGAGAATGTTCAGAATATTCATGTTTTACTTTCAAGATGCACTGGTGGCAGGCATGCAGAGGAAGATTTCTGAAGAAGAGTTCTAGCAAGGAGGACCCTCAAGAGACTCACTTATTTCTTCCTGAGATTTGAAAGCACAAATGCAGCCTTCAGACAAGTGAAGTTCAGAATAACATGCTACTTAGGCTGAGGAATACTATGAAGAGCAAATGAAAACAAGGCTATATCCTAGGCAATCAGTAAAAAGGAAGTAGGGTGCATAAGAAAAAGCACAACAAGATATTTATGGCATTGTATTAATTCAATAAAATCTATTCTCATTACAATTCATTTATAGTGGATCTAGCCTACCAAATAGGACACCCTTCCCAAATTACCCACTTCTGTTCAAATTGTTTTGCTTCGCGATTAGAGTGAGAAATGGCCACAGCCAAGATGCATGTTAGCAGAAACATCTGAATAAAAGCTATTGCAAGCAAGATAGTAACTTTTTAAGGTACATACCCCAAAAGCACAACACTAACCTCTTTTAAGAAATGTATACAGATAAACTTCTTATTCTTTCCAAAGATAACGGAGGAAAAAGTTCAAAATATAAAACTTTCCATCTGTGGTATTGCAGACTTTTTGTTCTCTTGCCAATTAAAAGACAGACAATAACCCAAAATATTTTCTAAAACACAGCAGGTTTCAAAGATACCAGAAGATATTTTACTATATCAACTTTATAGTGTTCCCAACTAATTATCTTCCATTACTGCATTTATTCCAGGCTTTGAATGGAGTTAATAGAAAATGTACAGTCATTGTATCATAAATAATAATAGTAATAATAAACCTTTATTCTATAAATGAGACAAAATGTCATGCCCAATGGTCATTCCATGGATACTGACATCAGTATCTAATTTCTGCTTTCTAAAGATACAAGCAACCTATTAGCAATTAATTACAAACACCAGAAAATATGTCACAAATAACTGAACATCACAGTCCAGGTAGGACAAAGCTTTTGAATACATGCAATTACCAGTCTGATTTTTGCTTTTTTAGTAAGAACGCATACACTGGGTACCCAATCATCTAACTGTGCCACAGAGTGTGTTTGCTTTGCACTCACACTACAGACATAGCTTTTCATGCAGATTCAGCAGATATCTGGGCCTGTCTTTTTCAGAAGAACAAATCAGAACCTAGAAGGGCTGTTTTGGAATGACAATGAGGAATGACACAGACTATTATTTACAAAGTAGAATTCAAACAAAAAAAAAGAGAAAGCTTGGAAAGGAGCGTGCTGCCCTGTATAGAGGGAGTAAGCACACCTAGTTTCCCTGACCAGCCTGACATTGATTGGCAATGAGCTTGGACTACTTCATCCTCTCTCAGAAAGATCTGCTGCTGTCAGAACTGCTGATTAATTACTATAACAGTGAGTCCAAAACAAGTACCCGCACTATGTGTTCTTGAATTAATGCCCTGAACCTCTCTGCTGGCTTCTAATTGCCTTTTTCCAATTGCAAAGCTCTTCTAGTGGCACAAGGCTGACGGTGGCACAGTGAAAATTACTGCCACAAGCTCAGTGGTGGAAGTGTTGTTACCCTTCCCTGGACAGTACTTACAAAGTCTCTCCCAAGGTACTCTGTCCTTTAACCCTATTGCAGATTGCAACATCCATATTCAGTGCTGAGAAAGAGCTGGAAAGACAATTCTCTGATGACTTGCACCA